TCTGGAGTCCAGTGGAGGTAATCCATAGCTATCGAAATACGTTCCCGTGCCGTCCTCGCTGATGTGGAAGGCGATCCAATGTTGCCCGGGACGGTCGTGATCGTCAGTGTTAGCGACGATGGCTGTCGACCTCGTCCACACCCTCGGAACTCTGTCGGCAGGATAGACGCCCGCATGTCTGACAGGGAGTTGATGCAACGCATGTAAAATTTCCAGTGAATTCATTTTTCGGTGGCGATCGCCTGAGAGGAATTGAAACGTGTACAAATTCAGTATTTACCTCACTCGCCGAGCTCGTACTTGCGTTTTTGGCTGTTGCCAATTCTTGCAGGGGAATAATAGGCGAGGTTACGTTGTCGTCGTGCGTTAGAAATCTTACGTTGCTGCGGACTATATTCGGAATCGAGATATTTTTCGGTTGCTGCTTTTCTTCTTCTTCTTTCTTTTCTCTTGCTACTGGAAAACCGCCTTTTGTTTGTTCGTCTTTTTTCTGATTTCTATCTTCTTCTTTTTTTACTGTATTATTTCTCCACGCTTCGATGTTACGGGTTATTTTAAATTTTTGTTCGCTGTCTGTTCTTCTTCTTCTTCTTCTTCTTCTTCCTCTTCGCTGACTTCGGGGATTGAGCTCAGATTTTCACAGCTTGAAGCGTCGCTATCGTGCAAGACTAGCCAATGCTTCAATTTGTAAGCGTTGCGTAACGCGCAAAGAAATTTCGCATCAGTGCGAAATCCGTGATGAGAGCAGCGATGTCCGTTCTGCACCTCGTCGGCCAAGAGTTTGAAGGACGGAGAAATTCTTTCCAGATTATAAACGTTTCTGGAGAGAAGATTCCGCAAGTAAAGAACTTTTTCATGTCCTCTGGTATATATGTAGCGTGTTCGTCGTGTAACCTCTCGTAAAAGTTGCGTAAAGTATTTGAGATTCACTTCACCGTCGAACCACTCAATACCGTGGTAATTCCGCGAAAGCCAATTGTTTTCACGTCTTGCACTCTCGGGTAAATCGTCAAATACACATGGTGGCATCAGAATCCAATGGCCGATGAACGGTGAGTTAATCGCTAGAAGTGCGACTTCCTTTGGAATAAACTTCTCGTCGGCATCGCGGAAACCTTGCATCTCGATGACTATATCCATGGTGTTGGCCGAAACTTTTACTATGTAGGTACTTGAAACTTTTGAAGCTAAGTGCGGCAACGTCCGTGTCTCAAGCGCAACTGAATTTTTTTTTTCAGGAGCATCTAGGTGCAATTATCTCGGTAAAATGTCGGACAAATGAAAATAGTGGGGGTAATAATTGCGGTATTTTCTTTTGGCTCCACGTTAATTGTCGTTGACTGTTGCTGCTGCTGCTGCTGCTGCCTCATTCTTTCGAGATTTTCCGTGGAAATTAAAACCATCTTCTTAGCTCTCTCCATCACTCTCGCGCAAGATTTATTTTTCAATAATTCGCGATAATAAAAGCGATAATAAGGGGCCTATAACGTAAGATAAAAAACCGCCTCGTTGTACTAAAAGTTTTCTTTTTTTCTTCCAATCACCACGTTTCCCCGACGCCGCGATACGCCGTAGCGTCGTTTTGAACTTGCTTAAGCGATTCTTTTCACGTCGCTCGAGCGGCACGTTACCGTTGAGCGTATTGAAAACGCACTCGCAAATACAATCAATGAATTTTTTGTCTGCTGTGCGGAGAAAGGCTGAGCGTTGATTTTTATTGAGATGACACACCGCCTCGAGAAGACAGGTGTTTCTCCTTCCGATCGAACGTTTAGCGGTTTTCGTCGCGTTGTTCTCCTTCATCGCGAGAAAAGTGCGCACGACTGATGCATGCGCGTGCAGATACGCTGCATTTATACATGACCTGCACCGGAAAAAGATCTACGCGACACGTAAACGTAATGCGGTGTATCATCGGGAAAAATGCACGTACGAAATCGATATGCGTCCGGGGTCGATTGTTTCAGATCGAGCAATAAATATCCGTGAGCTTGAGATGTCGCGTCGTAGTACGCTTCTTCGAGAAACTTTGGATCGTCGGGATAGACTTGCCGCGCGAGATGTCGAATTTGCGCACGATCGCGTGGATTTTTGAAAACTACGATGTAATTAGCGTTAAGAGATATATCCCGTTGCCCACGTCCTTGATGAAAAAGATTTTGCGAGATAAGAATCACACTTAGATTCTTATGGTGGCTTCCCTTGGTAAAAAGATCCACAATCGTCTCGCCCGACGACGATTCTCTCATGAGATCGTCGATTATTACTAATTTCGGGCATAGCGGGTCGTTGGAATAATCTTCCGCTCTCGGTAATCCCTCGCGGAATTCGATCTTAGGACCTACCGACGTGGTTTTCTCTCTGTTTTTTGCTCGAATGTCGTATTGCAGCTGTTGATAAGCGTCTTGCCACTCCGCGTAATAAAACAAAATTCTCTCAAAACGCACGTCGGACATGTCGGGTAAGTAACGAAGAAATCTCTTTACAAAGATCGTTTTCCCACATCCTGTGGGCCCGCACACGATTGACGTCCACGGATGTTTCCAACGCACGTCCATTTTGCGAAATGACGCTCGCATTGTACTTGCATCTTTTTTCATAATTAGCGCGAAGGAGAGAAAAGGTGACGTAGTAGGAGGAGGGATGGAGGGGGGAAATTCTTGAAGTTCGGCGTGTGAAATAAGCTTATACTCTCGGGGCCCCCGCGCCGGGGGTGTGCTAGCTTGCCCCCGTGACGAGCTTGTACCCCCGCGCATGATAAGCTTTTCCACAAACGCTCGTGCGTGCGTACCCACGCGAGAGCACCGCCACTGACAAGCTTATACGCGGTGCTCTCCGATAAGCTAATTAACGCGGGAAAAACTTATTCTTGCTCTCTCTCTCTCAAAGACGGCTGAAAAATAAATCTTTTGCGCAAAAGAATTAAATAAAAATTATGATATTTTTTGCAGGAAATTTTCTCTTCCACTTTCGGAAATTTATGTGTGTGTGCGTGTGCGTGTGCGTGTGTGTGTGTGTGTGTGAGACGAAATATACAAATTATTCAATTAGGAGGAAAAATGCGGGAAGAA